AACTGTTATTCTCCATTTCATGAAATTGAGAATGGTCACAAGAGTGATTTGAGGTTTTTGTTTTAATCTTAGCTAATTGTTATGTATGTACACATTGTAGGGTGATACAGTCAGAATAAGCTCTGAACTTGAGACTCTTGGAAGCTATAAAAGCCTCAAGCCTCGTCTTATGAGTCTCCAGGTGGGGCTGAACTGGTTGCGGCTCCAATGAGAGGCAACTGCTTGAGAGCTGTTTCCACAGGCATAGTGCACGGAATGGGTCCCTCTCTGATGCAGATCCCAATGATATCGATGTCAACTCTTGCTGATTTTGCTGGGCCAGTCAATAACAGGGCAGCGTGTTAAGATGCTGGAGCAAGGAAGTCGTTTGAAATATTTTTCTTACTGGCGTCTTTTCCTTATGGCATGCCCTTCAGCCTTAGAAAATGTGAGACCTGAAATAGACTTTAGGCGTCATCTAGTCCAGCCTCTTTGATACACAGATGTAAAAACTGAGGCACAGAGAAGGGGAATAAGTTCACTCAAATCAAAAAGTGTATTAGTAGGATGAGGTTCAGGGTGTGGCAGCAAGTAATAATGATTAAACAAGACAGTGCTTACTTGTCTCCCACTGAAGGAGGTGGAAGACGCAGCAGCATGGTGAGCGAGGCCCAGTTGTCTGCTGTGTTCCTCTGCCGTGCTCAGCATGTGGCCTCCATGGAATGATGGCAGACGGCTGTGCCATTCCAGTGCACTGAGGACAGAGGGACCCTTTCCCTCCGAGGACACATCATTCTACCTTAATCCCTTTGGCCTGAACAAAGTTGCATAGCTGCAAAAAAGGCTGGGAAATATATTTATTCTGGGCAGCCATGTACTTAGCTACAATTCGGAGGTTCTAAAGAAAGAAAGGAAGAGAATGGAAACAATTTTCAAGGCCTACCACAGCAAATTGGTGCCATTTCTAGGACTAGTATCTATTTCCTAACTCCTAGGATAATGTTTTTTCTTCTATACCACAGATTTTTAATTCTCATAAAGATGTGATCTTTAATTAAGAAACCTATAAGAAAACTTTGATTATGTACAAGTTCATTTTATATGTCCATACTGGATGCAGTGATTCCCCTTTGCTTGAGATCAATTTTTGTTTTTATTAATCCCTTGATATATAGATAGGAGTCAGGCAGACCCAAGTTTAATTTCTGCGTACCAACTTGTGACTTTGGGTCCATATGAATAAAAAAATCTATGCTTCGGGTTTTTTTTTCTCTCCAAAATAATGACAATATTGTCATCTTGGGGTTATTTTAAAAATTAAATGGGATGACATTCATGAAAGAGCCTAGCCCAGTGTTTAGTACTGAATATGTCACTATCCAATGTTACAAATATCAGTTTCCTTCTCCTTTCTCCTCACTTCCTTAGGTTTCCTCAAACCTGAAGACAACATAAGTTTTTCATAGGTAATTAAAAGAAATTTAAATCCGTGACAAAATTATTTTCCAGATATCCATAGCAGATCTGTCTAGATGTACACTCTGTTAATCTTAAAAGATGAGGAGTCTGACACAGTCAGACAACTTTTTAAATATTATGAGTGCCTAAGCCCCAACCCCAGAGATAATGATTAAGCAGGCCTAGGAGGTCGTTAGTTTTTGAATGAAATTTTCTGTTTTTATAGCTGTCTGAGTGAGTCTGATGTGCTATCGTGTTTTATGCAGATCAATACGATGGTAGAATGAAGTAGAGAAAAACGAGGAATCTGAGAAGTCACTTAGGCAGGTATTGTGGTTACCTAAGTGAGAGATGATAGAATAATATGGTAATAAATTGAATTAAAATATTTGGGCAAAATTAATAAGATGATACTTGATGAGATATAGGAAAAATAAATTTAATACATCTTTTAACACTAGCAAAACTGTAGCTCTTGAAATTTATCTGGCCTGAACTTACTGGCTTGAACTTACTGGCTTGAGGTAAAGGACAGGAGAAATTATGATATGTAAAATATATTAATATTTAGAAAAGTATTCTAAAATGATTAATAAATAGAAAATTCTTAATTATCTAGAATAATGAGCCAAGCCCAACAAGATAAAACTTAAGAGGGTCAAGTCGAATTTCATTCTTATTTTTAAAAGTTAGCTATACAAATATATCATATAAATGCCATTTAATTTGATAAGTATTTATATTTTTTAAAAAAAGAAAGAAAAAAAGACTTGTAGAGAAGACAGTCTGAGCACAAGATCAACAATAATAATAATAATAATAATGTAGGACCACAGAAAACTAAATGCAATCCTGGACTGCATTCATCTAAAGAGGAGCATGTAGAACAGGGAAGCAGCAGTACCTGGAGTGCTGAGTTCAGTTCTGGGCTCTGCATATTGACGGTAACCTGAGAACTTGGGCATATGAGAATGCTTGGGAGAGTGAGGTGCCAGACATTTCTCATAAGGAATGATAGAAAGTATCCCTTTATTCCAATAAAGAGAAGACTAAGGAAAGGCAATTTTATTTTTGTTTGCTTTTTTATACTTTACATTCTGGGGCACATGTGCAGAACTTGCAGGAATGTTGTATAGGTACACACTTGCCATGGTGGTTTGCTGCCTCCATCCCCACGTCACCTACCTCAGGCATTTCTCCCAATGTTATCCCTCCCCAACCTCCCCACCTCTTGCTATCCCTCCCTTATCCCCTCACCCCAAAACAGATCCCAGTGTGTGATGCTCCCCACCTTGTGTCCATGTGTTTTCATTGTTCAACACCCACCTATGATTGAGAACAAGTAGTGTTTGGTTTTCTATTCTTGTGTCAGTTTGCTGAGAATGATGGTTTCCAGATTCATCCATGTCCCTGCAAAGGACATGAACTCATCCTTTCTTGTGGCTGCATTGTATTTAGATGGTGTATATGTGTCACATTTTCTTTATCCAGTGTATCATTGATGAGCATTTGGGTTGGTTCCAGGTCTTTGCTATTGTAAATAGTGTTGCAATGAACATACATGTGCATGTGTCTCTATAATAGAATGATTTATAATCCTTTGGGTGTATATCCACTAATGGGATTATGGGGTCAAATGGTGTTTCTATTACTAGATCCTTGAGGAATTGCCACACTGTCTTCCACAATTAGAGTGAACTGGCAACCAACAGAATGGGAAAAAATTTTTGTGAGCTACCCATTTGACAAAGGGCTGATACCCAGAATCTACAAAAAGCTAAAGCAGATTTATAAGAAAAACAAACAAACAACCCCATCAAAAAGTGGTCAAAGGATATGAACAGACACCTTTCAAAAGAAGACATTTATGCAACCAACAGACATATGACAAAATGCTCAGCATCACTGGCCATTAGAGAAATGCAAATCAAAACCACATTGAGACACCCTGTCACGTCAGTTAGAATGGTGATCATTAAAAAATCTGGAGACAACAGATGCTTGAAAGGATGTGGAGAAATAGGAACACTTTTACACTGCTGGTGGGAGTGTAAATTAGGAAAGGCAGTGTTTTTGATGCTCTTTAGGGCTGCTAAACAGAAAAGGCAATAGATTTGTCTAGAGAGGACAGAAGTAGGCCAGCAGGGGAGAAGATATTTATGTCAAAATAAGAAACCTCTAACAATTACACCTACCAGTGGAACCAACACCTTCCAAGAGAGTGAGCTATATATCCCTGGACATCGTATAAGCAGCCTCAGGGTCTGGGAAAACACTGACTGGCTGAGAATGTTATAGAGGGAATGTATGGATCAGATTGATTGGGGAAAATAGCCCCTGAGGTTCTCCTCCCTCTGACATCACTTGATGATTCTGTGCGAAGTTCTAGCTTTTTAACAATTTCTTGGTACAATTAAATAGTCTGTCTTTATTGATTGAGAATCAATCATTAAAAAGCTACTGATTTTGTCACATCTAGAGATGATAAGAATAATACCACATGCTTCTGAAGAAAAGGAATTTTATACAAATAATCCTACACCAATGTATTATGCTTTTGCAGGAATAATCAAGAGCTTACATAATTTGAAACCACATTTTGCCCTGTATGAAGGAAGAAAGTCTATATTGCATCCGTACTTTGTGGCTTGGGCATTATTATTGCTTATATGCCCAAGGATTTTTTTTTTTCTTTTGGAGATGGAGTTTCAATCTTGTTACCCAGGCTGGAGTGCAGTGGCGCTATCTCTGCTCACTGCAACCTCTGCCTCCCAGGTTCAAGCAATTCTCCTGCCTCAGCCTCCGGAGTAGCTGGGACTACAGGCGCACACCACCATGCCCAGCTAATTTTTGTATTTTTAGTAGAGACGGCGTTTCTCCATGTTTGCCAGGATGGTCTTGATCTCCTGAACTTGTGATCTGCCCACCTCTGCTTCCCAAAGTACTGGGTTTACAGACATAAGCCAGCATGCCCAGCCAGGGTAACGTAGCTTCTTACATGGTAACTGCTATAGTTTGAATGTGTCTTTTAATGTTTATGTGTTGGAAACATTTAATGTTTATGTGTTGGAAACTTAATTCCCAGTGCAACAATGTTGAGAAGTGGGATCTAATAAAAGATGATGAGGTTATTAGGGCTCGGCCCTTATGAATGAATTAATGCCATTATTTTGGAAGCGGGTTAGTTATTGAGAGAGTAGGATGCTATAAACTGAGTTTGACTCCCTCTTGCTTTCTTGCTGTCACCCTCTCTTGTCCTTCTGCCTTCTGCCATGGAGTAACACAGTATGAGGGCCCTCACCAGATGCCAGCACCATGATCTTGGACTTCTCACCCTCCATTACCAAGAGCCACATAAATTCATATTATTTGTAAGTGACACAGTCAGTGGTATTGTATTATAGTAACACAAAGCAAACTAAGATAGCAACTGAGGACTCCAAAGGCATGTATGTCAGGAGGAAACTAAATCGCATTTCATGACTAGCATCAGGAGTCATGCAGCATCACTGCTATGACATTCTCTTGGCCAGGCAGTTAGACAGGTTCTCCCAAGACCTCACCTCTTACTGGTGGACTGTTAGTATCACATTGCGAGATGAGATACATTTTGGTGTAGTCATCTTTGAAAATTACAATCTGCTATAGCATATGAACAGATAACACTGTATTTGGGGTCTCTGTTCTGGTGCTGTGAAAGAATAGAAGAGGAGAGTGATTAATGAAAGAGATAACCTTCACACATCCTGGGCCTTACAATTTGATGTATTTAACTTATTAAGAAATGTTCAAGACAGGGGCAACAGTAGATGGAAAGGCATGAAAGAAAATGAGCAGAAAGTGTTTAAAAGCTTGGGTTGACAGGAAAAAGACTGAGTTGTGGGGGAGGTGATAGGATAAGTGCCTGGGCAGGGGAGGTAGGACAGTATCCTGAAGCGCCTTGAACATCTAGTTAAAACGTTTGGCTTTGGGGAGCAGTCACTGGCTTCAGAGCACAGGCATATAAAATGATCCTCTTCGGTAATCTCTTCCATCTACAATCCTTCTTTCCTTTGATAGTAAACATATCATGTCTGTTAAAGTTTGCTTCCTAGCTTCAACTGAACACAGACTCCCAACCATGGAAGCACTTTAGATTTTTTTCTTTTCCTTTTCCTTTTTGTTTTTACTCACCGCAAACAACTCTAGAATGGCATGCATTTGAACAAACCACAAGTGATTTCACTCTTTTAATTTTCAGTGCTTTTTGGCTAAATGCAGAGTGAGAAATTCATACCTTTTTCAAGCAGTGTGGGTTCTTTTTCCCAATTTCTGTCATCCATCTGGTTCTCTGGAGGTCTTGGAATCCAGGAAAGTGTTAGTTCACTGTGCTGAAATCCAAAAAAGACTGCTAAACTGTGAAAGAAAATTTGCATTCCAGAGACGCTGAAAGAGTTAGTCCACCACTCTTTTTCAACAGCAAGGAGAAAACATCTGTACTTCCTGCCTTTTTTGTCTTTAAGCAGTTATAGAATGAAAAACCCTGTACTCCCGGGCTGTGCCTTTCATACCTAGTTAATACAAATCAGTTTTGGCAGGGTGGGGGAGGAATTGAAACATGGAATTATTTTATTTCTAGTGTCAGAAATATTACAGCCAAGATACAGTTTAAGTGAAGCAAATAACCAGCTTCCTTTTGAGCTCCTCATGAGATTTCATTCACATGAATGGGTCCCAGAGCCAGGTATCTGACATACACATCAGCAGTGTTCTGTTCGGAAGGAAACCCCACAGTCACAGATGTTGGCATCTCTTTGCAGCCTTCCTAAGTCATGGTGCTGCCTTTTCTCTATTGGCAGAAATATAATTAGAAGGCCTTGTTCTCAACAGAAGCCAAATGATTGCCAAATCTGTTCAACTGATCTCTAGAGAATTGAAGTTAGCTCATGGCCCTCTGGCTCTTCTCTTTGCCACTCCCAGGAGTTACAGGCTTAAAGTTATCCCTTTCTTTTGAAAGAGGATCAAGTTTGATTCAAAGAAGCTTTTCTGTCATCTCCAGGAGTACAAAGAAAGACCTTCTATGACCCTAGTTGTTTGTGGCTTACTATAATTTAGGAAGTAATTGTAATTCATAAAGCCAGGTAGATAATAAACATCTTGGCAGGGCTGAGTTTCAGACAACTCTGAAGGGAACCAACATGTGAATGGAATGGTATTGGGAGTATTTCTAGTCTCTGCTTGCAGATCTTGATTCTAATAGATGACTCAAATTGGTTTAATTCTGATCAGAAATGTGCAGGCAGGCAGTCATTACTGTGTATACACATAGCTGAAAACATCATTGCTTAAGCACGGGTTTTAGATATTCTCCTGGATGGGTTAGTTACCCATGGTAGACAAATGCTGTAAGTAAAAAGAGCATTGTCCTAATTTCTATGCTGTGTGATTAACTTCAGATCATTTATATTCCTGGGGAAATATGTAGCACTTTTTTTTTTTTTAAGAAATATACTCTTGCAGAAATAGAATAAAAAACACAAAAGTTGCAGGATGATTTGATGAATCTAGGTTAGTTAATGTTATTTAATTTTGTATGCAGCCAATACTTATTGATTGCCTGTTGTGTCTTAAACACTGCTCCAGAGACTGCAAATGCAGTTGTGTCTTGAACAAACTAGTGGGGAAATGACTAATAAGCATGGTAGAAGTGTGGTAGTTAAATATATGACGTGGTATCAGATAGTGATAAGGACTATGAAGAGAGTGGCACTATAAAGAGACGGAGTCTGGCCTTTGGAGAGGAGGCTTCTGAAATAGTGTAGTGATGGGGGCCATCCAAGGATGCTGATGAAATTTTGAGTATGTCTATTGGAGTAGATACTGTTGGATGACTTTTTGGAATATTCCCAAATGACCGTTCATTCATTTACTTACTAAAATATTTACTGAGCTCCTTCTCTATGCTCAGGCATTGTTCTGGGAACTGAGGGTGATGCCATGAGCAAGACAAAAAAACCATGCCCTATTGAAGCTTTTGTTCAGTTCTCAAATCGATCCATTTTAAGGGACCAAAAGGCCTATTAACTTAATTCCCTTATTTTGTAGCTAACAGAATTTTGGTTTAGAGGAGAAATGCTTTGCACAAACTCACTGCTGGTGGCTGATGTTGGGAAAACTAGAATACAGCCCTCGACTTCTGGTTTATTTGTCCTTGCCAGTGTACCATACAGAGTCTCTGTAAACATCTATTTCAGCAACTCCAGTGTAGTGCTGGGGTTAGTTAGCTCTGTGACCCAAATAAGTCTTTTTGTCTATCAAGGCCTCGTGTCTACTCTTAATAAAAGGTAACAACATTGAGGGTTGTCAAGATGGTGCTTCACAGATGCAGGTACCAGTGGCTTTGTTGGATCTTGATTAAGATTAAGTCAAGAAAAGGCCAGGTATAACTGCTGTGAAGTAGACAGAGAACTCTATGAGACTTCTGATCGGCTCATAGACTTCCCTGTACACACTGTAAATGCATGACATGCAACTTCTCCATCACTTAATAGGTGCTCCAGGTATGTAAACTAAATAAAATACATGGCAAGAAAAAATATCTGTTGGAAACAAAACCACAAAAGCAAAAACAAAATAATCTGTATTTTCCCAAACATGATATTCTAGGGAGTATGGGTACTTGTGTGGAGATCTTATACTCGTCTGCTTCTCTCCAATAATAAGAAAGATAGAAGTCGACCTAGTTGATTAGTCAGAGGCTATTGAACCAAGATAGAGGGTCAATCCTTCTGTGGAACAGTAATTCTCCCCAGAAAAAAAGAGCTTTATAACAATATCTTTATATCGACTTACATTCTTAAAGAATGCTTCTCCCATTTCGTGTCATGTTTAATTCTCACAATTCTGGAAGGTTGATAAGGCAGAATACTTAAGATCTCATTTTATAGATGAGAAAATTGACACCTACATACCTTATGGAATTTTGTTCAAGGTGCTGTGAAATTCCAGCTACTCTGGAAATTCACTGCTTCAGTGAAACTGTTCTGAGTGTCTGTTAATAAACTCTATTTATAGGTTGCTGATAGTAGGAATTATGAAAGTGGACCTAAGGCTTCATAATGTGAGGCTTTGGATGCGATTATCTCCTCTGCACTGTTAGCCAGAGGGCCCCCATATTTATCAGTGTGCAACAATCTTGTTTTGACAGTGACAAAACCCAAGTAATGTAATTTACTCTGCTTAACAATTTTTCATTGGATGTGTAATTATGTTAATTTTTTCATATTCTTATTGTTAAAAGTTCCAGAACACCAGAGAGAAATGTTGGTCCTCCAAAAAAGGACCTAGTGTGGAGTTGAGAGAAGAGCCCTGCATAGAAACCATGTCATCTGCATCCCGGCCTTTTTCACAAAATAGCATACCACTTTGGGCAAATATACCACAATAGGCAAATCAGCTTCCCAGAATGCAGTGTCCTAGTGTATGAGGTGAGACAGTTGGACAAGATGATTTGAGGAATATTTCAAGCTCAGACAAACTATGTATTTATGAAAAGTATAGGAAATCTGCATGCTAAAGATTAATACCTGCGGTCTGTATAATTGCCTTTATATGGAATAAGGTAGAAAGATATCTGAGAAACTTGCTAACTGGAGGACAGTGTGAAGTAGAATGATGAGCCTTTCTCTTTATACTTTAGGAAACACAGGTTTAAATCCTGGCTGCATATATAGTTATGCGGCATGTAATGGGGGAAAGAATCTACCATTCTACCTCCTATACCAGATTGCTCTGGAGATTAGATGGGCTCCTGTTTGCGTACTTTTAGTGAACTTTAAGGACTATACCAAGTCAAAGTATCAGCTTTTATTTTTCATGTATAAAGGAATACAAATTACTTTTATGAAGAAGCAAGAAATGTATGGATTTGCAGTATAACAAGGTTTACATAGAAGAAGAGCTTTTGCACAAAATTCCCAGGAAAGCAAGTGAAAGTCACTTCGCAATCTAGAAGCTCATTTTATTTTATGACATTATCCAATTATCCTAGAGTATTATTACACAATTCCTTAGATAATTCATTCTTTAAAAGGACAAATATGACCAGGCGTGGTGTCCCACACCTGTAATCCCAGCACTTTGGGAGGGTGAGGTGGGTGAATTGCCTAAGGTCATGAGTTTGAGACCAGTCTGACCAACATGGTAAAACCCCATCTCTACTAAAAATACAAAAATTAGCTGGGCATGGTGATGTGTGCCTGTGGTCCCAGCTACTCAGGAGTACTCAGGAGGCTGAAGCAGTAGAATCACTTGAATTCGGGAGGTGGAGGTTGCAGTGAGTGGAGATTGTGCCACTGCACTCCAGCCTGAGCAACAAGAGTGAGACTCTGTCTCAAAAAAAAAAAAAAAAAAAAAAAAAGACAGATATAAAGTATAGGAGAATTAATGGTGAAAGGAAAAGAATTATAGAAATTAGAAATACAGTGCTTCAATGTGGTAGTTACATTAAATGATTAAAGGATGACAAGTTAATTGAATAAGTGTCCTAGCCCCTTCAATTCCCTTGTATAGACAATTTATAAAACCAACGTTTCTTATATAGTCAGGACTCTGGGTTCTCGCTTTCATAATATGAGAACTCATTGAAACTTCACAGCACTGCAGTGTAGACATTTCACTCATGTTTAGTAGATGAGGAAACCAAAGGCCAGAAAGGTCAAGAAAATTGCCTAGCTTTTTGAACCCAGGTCACCATGTTAGTAATGCTTCACTAATTCTCTTACTGTAATATGGCAGACCTTCTTTGACTGCTGAGTTAATAAGTCTTCACATGACTTATGTTGTAAAGGCAAAATCTGTCATTTACTTGTCTTGGAAGGAAAGGAATTCAGTTCTTTTCTTTCCCTCTCACAGTGGTCTTAGTCTTCTCTGATGTGTTCATTATGCCCATGGCATGAAGGTCTGATACACAATCACCAGCTCTCACTCCCCTTTCCCCTGCCCCACATTTTTTAAAGATTAGAAGACATTTAAGAGAAGTGTTTTGGAAGACCTAGCATGCCACATGGGTTACACATTTTAAGGTAAAATATTACCTCCCTGGGCACTAAGGTACAGATAAACTAAATGTTCTATAATTGAGATTTTCTTTTCTGATTTACTCGCAAGCTCAGATCACATTCCTAACCCTAGTGCTTAAGAATAAAAAAACAGGACATAATTTACTTTGTGAAGAATGTGATTTATAGCTCATGGCAAAATTGAACAGAACGGCCTAATTGCCCTGATCCTTTTGTTCTTTCTGCTGGCTTTTTCCTTATGGTTTTAGGGCATATTTCTTAATTTTAAAGCCAGTTTGTATAGTTCAAATACAAACAGAACATTTTAGAAGAAAAGAATTGTTTTTCTAAATTCTATATTAATAGTAACACATAGGCTTTGTCTGTGCTAGTTAAAACACGGTGTTCATGTCTGGCAATATTGAGTTCCCCTTCACTTGTCTTGGAAGGAAAGGAACTCAATTCTTTTGTTTCCCTCTCATGATAGTCTTAGTCTTCTGTGATCTGTTCATTATGCCCGTGGCATGAAGGGCTGACGCACAGTCATCAGCTCTCACTGCTCAATTCACAGACTTCGTTCCAGTATTCTTCCTGTGAAATGAATTTGTTTCAGTGCAGGCTTATCTGTGACTCCTCTCAAAGAATATTAGATAGTGAAGACTCTTGTTGTAACAAAACATTAATTCCAAAGTGGGTTAAAGTAAGTTTTTTTTTTAAGTCCCAAATCAAATCCCAACTGCAATGGAGTCTTAGAAAGTCACGAACCACCACCATACCATACTGCCTGCTCTCTCACCACTCGTAAGTAATTGCTCTCTTCCCTGTGTTCCCATCATTCATTACTCGTGCCTCATTGATAGCGATTTGCCATGGCCTTTGCCTAGAATCGAATATTAATAGTTGTGTCCATCTGTCTCACTGCTGTGGGAACCTTTGAGGGCAGGGACAGCGTCTCTGTCTTCTATCTCTTCCCCTGTACCTGCCAGTGCTCAACACTTTGTTCCACTCTTTAGGCTTTCTGCAATATTAGAATAAGTGAGAAGCCAGCTCTACTCTTTAGAGATGCATATGAAAAGTTTGTTTAAAGGGGGTTTGTAAGAAAGCTGAGGCAATATAAGCACTGGAGGCAAAAAGTTATACTCCAAAAGGTTAACAAAAAAAAAGTTGAAATTATTTTACTGAATTTTTAGGTATGTGTTTCATAGCTGTCATTTTCAGGGGTTGGGGGGGTATGTCATGACATCAAAAGAAAATACAGTTTAGAGATTTGATGCTATCTAATAAATTGTTTCAAAACTTTTCCTATTAGGAAAAGTTTCATCTGTGAAAGAAGAATCTTGATTCTTTGAAAAGTCACAGTCATAGGGATGGGATGCTATGAAGCTTGCAATTATTATTTACAGTCTGTTTCAAAACACACATAACATGCAGATACAAATATCAACTTAGATTAAGATATAGGCAAAGGACATTAAAAAGAGCAAGAGAAATGTTAATAAAAAAATGCATGTCTCTCGGGAAGGCAGAAGCTGTTGAAAGGTTATGTAGTATAGGGTCGTTAGAACTACCAAGTTAAAATGGTATCTTCACCTGCAAAGGAAACCCAAAAGTACTGCCATCATTTGGAAAACATTCTTGATTACCAGAGTCAAGGTATAATAAGTTTGTATTCCATAATTAAGTTAGGCAATAGCAGTATTTGAAGTTCAAGTAATGGCACTGGCATTTCAAGAGAAATTGGCTGAGTCATAGCCCTGCTCCTTTTTTACTGTGCCATATTGCCATTCTGTTGGGAACACCTACCCACACTTGAGCTGTATCTCCCAACCTTTTTCACATCACAGTTCGTGTGGAAAATGATGGCATTCATTCAGCACACTGGCGTAAGTGGATGAGATCTCTCCTATCCCAAGGCAACCACTCAGGAACTCTGGACACCTCTGGTCCCCCTGAACCCTCCCAAATATGGTCCACCTGGAACCCACCTGAAGTACATTTTCTGTTAACCTGCCAGTTGAGAAGCTCTACACTAGAGAGTGGTTTTGCATGGTTAAATAGAAAAACAAAAACTTAAAAACTTATTTTATATGAAGTACTTACCTGAAGTATATTAATTCATTAACTAACTGATATTTGTGGAGCATTAATTTTATACAAGCTTACTGTTGTAGATGCTTGGGATCCAGCAATGAGTTTTCTCTCTTATCCTGTAGGAGTTTAGCAGAAAAACTGTCATAAGATCTTAATATGTTTTCTCTATTTATTTGCATGTAACTTGCATTTAATAAGCCTGAATGTCTTCTTTCTATTTGAAATACAGAGGGTGTCTGCTGATGTATAGAATCAGTATAATGTGATATAGCGGAGAGAGTCTCCATTGGACAGAGAATTAGGAGACCTGTATTCTAACTCCCAATCTGTCACTAGCTGTGTTCCCTATCTATACCTTAGATTTTTGAATCCAGCAGTTGGACTAGAATGAAGGTTTTCAGATAGTACAATGTGCATCCTCCCACAGGTTTCATCCTTATGTGCTTCAGCCTGAGGTGATTTGGAGCTCTTTTGTGTGTGCTTTTTGTTTTTTTAAATAAATTGTTTCCCTGAAGAAAGGGTTGTGGGTGAATGGCCAAGTGAAAGGAGTTGAAAATTCCTGGGCTAGTGTAATCTGTAAAGACTTTTGAAGATTGAATGTCTTCTAACTCTCTCTTTTTTCTTTTTGTCCTTATCTCAACAAGACCAAAACTGTATCTAGATCATGAGCTATCACCCCTTATCTTTCCAAGAGTCTTTCCTGTTTCACAATATTGTTTTTGTACCTTTAAAAGATAAAGATGAATATAAGATCACATTTTAATTTTATAAAATAAAAATGTTAACATTTCTAAATGGCAGTAATCACTTTGTAGTCTTCTGAATCATCAATTACTTATGTAAATGAAGACTACATATCTTGATTTTAAATACTCAAAATTGAACACTTACATGCATCTATGTAATATATAAATAATGGTAATATTCTTATTTCTCTATCATCTCATTAGTAGTTCATGTTTATTTTACCTGTATGCTTCATTTATATTCAGGCGATTCTTTAGCTCTTCTGCCTGTGAGTTACACGTTATTTATAAAATATCCAAGGATAGAAAAAATACAACCCCATTGTCTCCCTGACTTTAAAACAGTTGCATATGGGAGTTTTCTGTACAAAGTTTATTTGTGATTTAATTTTTAGTTTCACTGAGTGTGTTGTTTTTAATCACAATTGTGTTGCCAACATTTCAGAAAAGTTGATAAGCTGTGACTTTTAGCAACAGAAATTGCTTTTTCTTGCTACTCTTACATCTTCTCACTTTAAGCATACTTTCATTGGAGTAACCTAAAACATTTTTTATGGGAAAAAAAAAATCCTTAAACAGTGCCTGCTGCAAAATGATTAACATTTGGATTCTTCATTCAGCTTTGGCCAGAGGCCTTCCACAGCTGGTTACCAATTATTTACTTTGTGTCATGGACTTTATGGTCCCTGGGCAAGGATGCTTAGTATTGTGGATACTGTAGATAGAGTATCCACAATAGGAACAGGAAGTTTAAGAAGTGTAAGGACTTCCTATACTTTCCCGCAGGTGTTGATTGCAAGGACACGTCTTCATAACTGTGTGCAAATCTGTTTCAGACCTTGTTTCCTAGGAAACACAACCTCAGACTAAGGCTTCATGGGAGGAGGGAAGAGCGATTGCAGTTTAGTCATAGAGGTTGACATAAACCACTAAATCAAGTACATTGTGTTCAGTGTCACAGGGGACACATAATACAATCCTATGGGAGTGGAAGAAGTTCCTTATTTTGCTTGGAATACAACAGAAAAAGATTTAGGAAAGATTTTTCACAAGAGGTGACATTTGAGTTTCACTTCGAAGAATGAGTAGGCATTCTCTAACAGGCAAAGTAGGGTGTAAGATAGTCTGGGCTTGTAAAAGAATGTTGCTTATTAAAGACATGGCAGAAAGCTCCATGTGGCAGCTGGAAGGAGGAGTCCATGAGACAGCAATAAAGCTGGTTCAGGAGTCCAGTCACAAAGCACAGTGCTGATATTGAAGGTTCGTAAGCTGGAAGGTGCTCTTTCCTCTTAAATCCCCAGCTATCAAACCTGGCAACCCTAGGAGAAAAAAAAAATGTGATTTGAATAGACATATTTAGAGACATCCCTCTTTCATTTATTTGCTTGAAGACTTTCTTTTTCTTCAAAACCATTTTATTTGTCAGCCATTTCATGTTAACTTAGTTCAGATGAACCCAATATTTATATGAAGAGTGTGCATCTTTTTGTCTGGCTTTAAAATAATCATCTATAACACAAAAATATCCTTCTATGATCCTTCAAATTCTACCATTAGCAGTTTCTGGAATTATCAGTGGAGGTGCATAGTAAAGGTAATGTAGTCCAAGTTTCTGGCAAATGAGCACCCCTTTCTCTGGTAAGGGGTTATCAGTTGTTTTTGTATATCTCTAGTAATGTAAACATGTGCCTTTTCCGAGCGTTGTTAATATTGATTTATCACAGATTAATAAAATTATAGAGTTTGAATTAATCATCATTTTTCAAATGAGGAAACTGAGATGGAAGGAGGTAATTATTTACCCAAGGTCATACAGCAGATTTTGACAAAGCCATAAGGATAATTCACATTCTTCACCTAGCAACTTTCCTTTTTCATGGCTACATAATGAATGCCTTAGCTCCTTCTCTGAATTCATGGGAGTCAGGTAACTGGAGTACCAGTCCCACTGCTGCCTCCCATGCGCTCCACAGCTCAGGTCCAGCAGATCTGTTTTCAAAGTCTCTCTGCTCACCTGTGGAATGAGAGCTTGGACTAGGGAAACTCCCAGCCCCCTCCTCCCTGACATTGTGAGTTTCTTTCCTTTCTCAATGGCTGCTAGTGGGCCCCAATGGAGACTGAAAGGGGAAGACTGCAGTAAAAGGTGCAGGCTAGTGAAAGGTAACATGTCCTACATCACTCACTAGCCTGGGATACCATCGACTGCATTCTTGAAAACATTATTTTCTAATTTGGGGACATTTTGCAACAGGCTGATTCTAAGCATATTTTATACTTGTTTCCCCTCTGTTTCAGAAATGTTTGTATTACCTGTCCTTTGAATACAGCTTCTATAGACCACAAAGTCTTTCCATAGAAACCAAGCCTTCTATATTGCTGCTAGTTTTGAGTAAATGAGCTGAATCTTGCAGCCAAGCCTCAATGCAAACAAAAACATTTTCTGGTCAAACAGTTTCTGGTTATTCAACTCCATTATGACTTAAAAAAAAAAGATAAAAACCCACAGAGGAGCAAAACATAAGTCCTGGGAAGACAATTTCCAGCCACATTAGCTCAGATTGTCAGCGCAGAAAAGAAACAGGCCCTCATTCTTCAAACCATCATCATCTCCAGACTCTTATTCTGTCCTCTTCTGCTATTTTAATTTCACCACTTCAAAATGGGAAAAACAAATAGGTTAATAGTTTCCATGCGTTTAGACTGTGACCAGAGGCATACTACGCAATTTCAGAACCTCAGGCAGCCGCAGCTCTGAGGGAAGGATGATGATGGATTTACCAATTCATCTTGGGATGGATTCCAGAGTTAAGGGAGTCAGGCCAGCACTGTGCTGCCAGAGTGGGATATAAACAATATTCTTTCATTCATTGTTTTTGCACACATTTGTCTCAGGCTTATTTCTATTTCAGACAATATACTGGGTTCAGTAGGGACAGAGAAATACATTCTTAAGGCATAGTGTCTTCACCGAATAAAATTATAGTCTGGTAGAGGACATAGACATGTGCACAAAAAATTTAAATAAAGTGCACACTTGAAGTATTGTCAGCAAAGTAAATAAAGTGCTCAGGAATGGGAGAGAAAGAAGCAATTCATTCCAGGTGGGACCATTGAGGAAGGCTTCCCTGGGGAATTGGTCTTCTGGCCTGTACCTTGAAAAGTCAGAATGGCAATATGCGATACATCTAGGCATTAGCCAAGGCACAGAAGTTTCACATAGGTTTGTACAAGAGTGAGTAGTCTGGGATGTTATGAGAAGCTGAGCTTAGAAGCGGGAGTTGGATACCATGTAAAGAATTAGCTTTTTTTAGATTGTGGAGCCTTTGAGATTTTGTTATCCAGAAAGGTATTTGTACTTGATCGCCTCTGTGTTTAAAAAGAAAACTGGAAGTCATTGGAGACAGGGGCAAGGAGAGTATTATAAGAAGAGAGACATGAGGACACTAGTTACCTACATAGAGAACTTCTTGCTACATAGCCATTTATATATCCTCATGGTAAGAGAGCAGTTACTCCTGAATTTCCACATCCCATTCAGTTCTGCAGCTTTCTAATGAGATTCATTTCCCAGGTTTATTCCAGATTGTAAACTCAATGAGTTAGTCCACATATCTCAGTTGGAATATAGCATTTTACATCTGAAACATGGTAGTTTGGTAAGAGTATGGGATTAAAGGGGACGGTGGAAAGGTAACAGCCGATCTTTCTGAGATCTAACTCACTAAGTGGTGTGTCTTTTTTTTTTTTTTTTTTGAGATGTAGTCTCACTCTGTCATTAGGCTGGAGTGCAGTGGCATGAGCTCAGCTCACTGCAACCTCTGTCTCCTGGATTCAAGTGATTCCCCTGCCTCAGATTTCCGAGTAACTGGGATCACGGGCGCACACCACCACACCCAGCTAATTTTTGTATTTTTAGTAGACACAGGGTTTCACCATGCTGACCAGGACAATCTTGATCTCTTGACCTCGTGATCCACCAGCCTCAGCCTCCCAAAAGTGCTGGGATTACAGGCATGAGCCGCTGCACCTAGCCAAGCGATACCTCTTTTAAGGGATGCTATGTATTTTTAAAGCTTAGCATATTTTTAAGGCCAGATAAATGAGTTTCTTAATTCACTTTTCCAAACCAGCTCCCTTGTACATTCTACATTTCTATCAAGAGTTTATGAACTCTAAACCTGGAGATGGAGTGGGAATCAAGGCTTTAAGTGCTCGGAAGCCTCATTTATTATGCTGAGCTCTGATTTGGGTTCTGTATCTAGCTTGCTCTGTCCCAGTCATCTGACAGATGACTCTGTAAAAAGTTAGGGGCCTTAGTGATCACTCTGTGTCTTTGATCATGAATTTTAGATGTAATAGTGAAGGATTCTTCAAATGGGGAAGCTGAGTGGTGTAGTTCAAAGGTCAACAAACCATAGCCATGGGTCAAATCCAGCCCACTGTCTGTTTTTGGTAAAGAAAATGTTACAGGCACACAGTCATGCCCATGTGTTTGCATGCTGTCTGTGGCTGCTTTCCAGCTATAACAGCAAGATTTCGTTGTTACACCAAAGCCAGAAACATTTACGATATGGGACTTTCTGAAAAGTTTGCCGTCACCCTTGCTATAGGAAACAAGAAAAGGAACAACGATAGAAGTCAGAAAACATGTGTTCTCAGTTCTGGGCTTGCCACCTCCTACCTGAATGATACTAGAAAAGCCACTTGACCCATCCAATTGTGCTTCTTTCTCTCTATAATTCACTTCTTTGGCCAGTTTGTTCACTGGTCGATAACACCTGTTTTATACTTTTAAGGGCTGTTTTAAAGCTGTAGATGTGATTTGTAAACGGTAAGAAATGCCTTCTGAAGAGCAGTGTGACAAGGACCTGAGACAAGCTGTATTGTGAAGCTGCTTGTCATGCAGTATGGACTTCCTTCTGTCCCCGTCTAAGGCTGCTTTTGTTTCCTTCCTCAGAATACTCTGGAGCAGTGCAATGTGTGTTCCAAGCCCATCATGGAGCGGATCCTCCGAGCCACTGGGAAGGCCTATCATCCTCACTGTTTCACCTGCGTGATGTGCCACCGCAGCTTGGATGGGATCCCATTCACTGTGGATGCTGGCGGGCTGATTCACTGCATTGAGGACTTCCACAGGTAGGCAACCTACTCTCATTTCCACCCTGCCTATCCTTTTAGAGTCTGCTCTTACTGCCTGGCATATGGGCATACATTCTTCTCTCTCAGAACTATAACATTTCAGGATTTAGTGAGGCCTTTAAAAGAACTTATTGATTTCCTCATCTAATGCCAGAATTAATATCAGACAATTCATGCAGTCATCCAGCCTGGCCTCTGGATCAAGGCTTCCCCAGAGCTTCTCCATTGCATCTCTGGGTAACTCCATGAAAAAGTTGGCTCAGCCATAGTGTGTATGTATTAGAAAGAAACAGGGTCCTGGCCTAAATATCAACAAAATGTGTGATATTTGGCCATTGCTGAAATTATTTGAGCTCTTCAATTTGGTCATTAGACCAAACCTTCTCCTAAAGCTCTCTCAGATGTGATGACCCAGACTTTTCTCAAGAGCTAATCTCTACATCCCTACCGCTCTACTGATAAGAAGGTATGGGGGACAAACACAGAGAACCGTTCAGTTTCTATTATTAATACAAGCTTCTCACATATTCAGAGGCTGTTTCATGCCATTGTCAACATATTCACTCCCTTCCCTGACCTTTTCTTCCACCCAAGTCTTCTCTCTCTCAAGTTATTTTTAATAAAATTAATGAATGTAAATGTTCTTTTCAGGAGGATTAAAAAGTGATGCCTCAAGATCAAAAACAGTTACTCATAAGCCCAAAAAGATACATCCACGCTGCTTCATTTCTCTCATTTCTAGGTCCTTCTTTTCTGTATTACAGTGGGAGTCTTTGTGAAAATTATACAGCTTTGTATTTTGCTTATTTTTATTTGGCCAGTTTGTTAGTTAATTGGTTGATAACATTTGTTACACACACACACACACACACACACACACACACATACACACACACTTTAAGACAAGGTCTCACTCTGTTGCCCAGGCTGCAGTGTAGTAGCGTGATCTCAGCTCACTGCAACCTCTGCTTCCCGGGCTCAAGCAGTTCTCCTACCTCTGCCTCCTGAGTAGTTGGGAACTACAGGCATGTGCCACCATGCCCAGCTAATCTTTGTATTTTTAGCAGAGATGAAGTTTTGCCATGTTGGCCAGGCTGATGTCTAACTCCTATCCTCAAGTGATCCACCTGCCTTGGCCTCCCAAAGAGCTGGGATTACAGTTAGGAGCCACTGTGCCCGGCCAACATTTGTTTTATATTTTTAAGGACTGTATTCCACCCATAGATGTGATCTGCAAATGCTGGACTCAGGTTTCTGTATGTATTTGCTGGGTAGTGGCTTTGAAGACAGCCTTTGTAGCTATCAAAGAGATGGAGCTTGTATTACTCACCAAGTTGGGTATCCATTCTATGGCCTCCAAGTGTACAGTCTTATGAGTTAATTTTCACCACTGTGTTGATTGTCAACAACCAGGAAACACTTACCACAAGCGGTTTGGAGACCTGGGACTCATATTTTAAAAATGAATTTCCTGACCACTTTCCAAGTAGCAAAGAAAGTGAAAACCTCACCAAAGGACGTGAGGTTGAATGAATTAAAAAATCCCAGAGGCAGAAATTTACAACCTGAATTAGACAAGGAAAGAATCACTTTTAAAGGGCAGTCACAGCATAAATTGTACTTCACATATTGATACTTTTAGCTTGTAATTACACATTGAAAAAAAACCCTGAATCTATTTAAGGGAAGTGAAAAAGATATCAGTGGGGAGTATGTTCTGTCATTGTTTCTCTCCTTTCTTAGACTTACCCTAATCCAAGAAAGACTGATAGATATAATCAGAGCACACATGTTTCTGTTGCTGGAAAAGACTGATATGTTACACCCCTCAATTAAAACAGGAAATCAATTTTGACAAATGTAAGTTTATATCTATGCCATTTATCTTTCATGTCTAGGGGTAGGGAGCATAATTAAAGACTGGTGACTGGTGACATAAGTGTGTGAGTCTGAAATCTCCCAAAAAGCCGACTTGAGCATCTAAAAGGGGGGAAAAATTAAAACACCCTGCTAACCTTCCCCACTAGTTCAATACATGTTCAAACATAAATTAAAAGTAATAATAACATTGTCTTCATGATTGGTAGGTAGGTAGGGAGAGGTTTTTGATCCTTTCCCCATTTCCTAAAGGGAAATCACAAACTGTTTCACAGAACTCTTATTTATGAGCCTTAAAATTACTAGAATACAAAGCAGCTAAAAGTCCAGCATTGGCTGATTACTGAAAGACCAAGGAGAGGGCAGATAAAGGGATGTTCCTGCTCCAGATAGTTTTCTGGGGCCGTGTTTGTGGTCATTTTGAGTGAATCCCTTATTGTGAACCTTTAGAAAATGTATTTTAATTTGGTTCAACTCACATTTATAAAGAACCCTCTTGTGCCAACTGCTGCATTAAATGCTGAAGGAGAGAGATACAGGAGAGAAATTGCACAGATATATATAGAGAAGTCGCTGTCAGCAAGCAGCTTGCCAGGAGGAGGGCAGAGAAAGTGTGCAGACAGGGAGAAAGGGCTGAACTCCATGAGACAGGCACAGGTAAGGGCTTGCCCTGTCAAAGTCAGATCCCTTGGCTCTATGGTCAGAATAGGCTTTGCAGAAGGAGAATTTCAAGAGTGTTTTAAGTGGGAAACAAGGAGATTCCTGGCAGAGGGAATAACTCAGACTTTTTAGCCAGGGGCACAGAGTTAGGAAAGGGTTCTCTAGGTTCAGGGAGATTTGCTTTGCTGTAACTAGAGCAGACTGGGAGTGGAGTTTACCTTGAGATACAGGAGACCCATAAGAAGGGATTTATCTCACTTGCTTAGTCTGCCTTTGATTGATTGATTGACTGACTGAGATGGAATCTCACTCTTGTGGCCCAGGCTGGAATGCAGTGGCACAATCTCAGCTCACTGCAACCTCCTCCTTCCATATTCAAGTGATTCTCCTGCCTCAGTTTCTCAAGTAGCTGAGATTACAGGCACCTGCCACCACACCTGGCTAATTTTTGGATTTTTAGTAAAGACAGGGTTTCACCATGTTGGGCAGGGTGGTCTTGAACTCCTGACCTCAGATGATCCACCCACCTCGGCCTCCCAAAGTGCTGGGATTACACACATGAGCCACTGCATCCAGCCTTAGTCTGCCTTTTAAACCAGTGCTTCCCAGATTTTAATGTGCCTATAATCCATAGAGGGATCTTGTAAAACTTTGCGTTGTAATTCAGATCTGGGGTGGGGCCTAAGATTCGGTATTTCTGTCAAGCTCCTAGGTGGCCATGCCCTGCACTTTGAGTAACAAGGTTCTGGAATACTGTTTGTGAGGCATTGTTAATGGACCATCCTCTACATAACCACCTTTAGTCAGTGGTGGTTCATATCCTCCATCCTACTGGACATGCAAACTTAGACAGATGTCATTTCAGATGACTGCTGCAACCACTACTGACTGTTTCCTAGAAGACTATCTCCCTGACCTGAACACACACATACACATTTTCTCATTTCACCTAAATCATTACATTTAAAGTCCCAACTCAATTACCATTTCCTCAAAGGACACTTACCTGATCTACACCCCTCATGTTTGGATTTACATCTTAATCTCTGTGTTTTATAGAGATTTTCACATCTGCTGTAGATAGCACTTACCACAGTCTGACTGGTAAATATACAAGTATGTATGTGTATATAGAAATATACATGAATATACTAGAAATATACATGTATGTATGTGTGTGTACATATGTGTGTGTGTTTAAAACCTTACAATCATATCATTTTTGTGTTTTTACAATATGATTTGTATATATAAATTAATATAAATAATGCAGAAATATATAGAACTCTCTCTCAGGTCTGTACTGGAAGTCTTTTCTTATTCTTGTATTCCTAGTGAGAAAACCCAGAAAGCAGATTTATTTAACTGACTCTTTCTGTGTGGTGAGGCTTTATTCGCCTGTCTGTGCTTTCTTATCAGGAATATTACCCTCATTCATTTATGTATTTAATCAGCATCCATTTGTTAATTGCCAGAAACATGCCAGAATACAAGATGACTAAGATCATCCCTCTCTGAGCCTTGGCTCTGTTGACTGTAAAGCAGAAATGATAAAAATACTTCCTCATAATGTTGCCGTCAGGAGAAAATAATGTCAAGTGTGTAATGCGCTTAACAGGGCTTGGCATATAATAAGCTGTCAATAAATGGTAGCTTTAATCATCAACAGTGTCTTCATCAAATTTATTTTTATGATTATCGTCCACTCAGTGAGCTAAGCCTTGAAATGGACCACCTGGGATTGCGAACCCTCCCTGAACTGCTATCCGAGGAACACTGTGGGGACGATGAGAACCACCTCCCGCCTCTTCGCTTTGCTTTTTCTCATCATGGAAATGAGGCCAATTGGTAGGAAAGAATCAGTACTCAGCAAGAATACAGTTTATGTCTTCCTAAAGAGGAAGAACCTTGAGGTTGAACATAAAACCCAGCTAATATCTTTTTTATAGAGATAGATGGCAGATTCATTTCAATAGAGTTAGCCCAACTTTCTTCTTTCTGCACCAGTCACAGTCGTCATTTCTTGGGACTCAGAGATGGAGCAAAGTCCCATCTTGTGGAAGCTTAGAGGTTAGCAGTGCATAGATCTATCCAAATAATGAGTACCAAAATAAATAAACTTCATGACAGAATTTTTATCTTAGAGGAGTAAATAATTCTATCTGGGGAAATTGGAGAAGGCTTATGGATACATTCATAAAGAAAACATACTTCTGCCCTCCAAGAGATTGGGGAAGGGAGATTTCGCAGTTGATCCCAGAAGCCTGCTTACCTCACCACTGATGACCCAGATTTAAAAATAATCTGGTAGTCCAGAGCAAATGTTTTTTGCCACTGAATATAAACTTCTTTCATAAAATACCAATTATAACAACTCTGATTGCTGCTGCAGTGGTACCAGGATCCTTTTCATTCGTCTATCATAGCAATCAATTGATCTGCTGCTTAATTCATATTTATTTAGATTGCAGCCGTACAGATGCTTTTTGGGTGCTACCAGGAAAATTAATATGTACATATAGAGTATAATGGATGTAAAACTGCTTTGACAACCATAAAGTGCTCTGCAAAGTATTAGATTACTATCATTATTTCTTTTTAAGTCTCACTACAAATACATAAATTTTTCACATCATTTATCTTAAAACCATTACCATGAAAAAACTGAGTCGCATAATCTGCTTTTCTTTTTTTAAATCTCTTCAGTTCTTATCCATGTCCATTTCAAATCAAGTATCATTTCATACCTTCACAAACACCACCTTTAGTTTCTAGAAGATACAGATAGACACATGGCCTATATTTTCAGCGAATTAATCTGTCATAGAAAAAAAAAAGTTAGGTACCATTGATCATATTAAGAAATACTAAGAAAGTAGTGAGTATTCAACTTATTTACCAGCAGCCTCAAAAACATATGCATATGCATATGTATATGTATGTGTATGTATGTTAGTATACATGTACCCTTCAGCAGTGCCAAAATCCTTTAAGGAATAAAGAATTTGATAGCTTTTTAACTTTTTATTTTTAAGCAAAAGTTTAACACAATAAAAAATGTAGGAAATGTGGACTTGGCCATTCTCAGTTTTGTGTAATGTATATTTAAACTCACTAACCTCTGCCCTTTTGAAAAGCGATGTATCTGAGTCGTCTTGTGTCAATTCCTAGAAATCAAGACAAATTTACAAGAAATAAGCTCTAAAATGTGGGAACAAGGCAAAGATAGCAGGACCTGAGGAGCGCATAGAAAAGTCTAGAAGCAAAAGTCAGAAACAAATAGGGGCCGGACAGGACTTTGTTCTCTCCTCAAATTAGCCTAGCCTAAGTGCAGAGTTTGCATTCAGAATCTATCTAAAGGTGAATTTCATACCCCACACCATGTGGCAAAGAGATGCTAGATGCTCTTCACGCGTAAGCAGTTCACATGCTCACTCTCTCACCTTACCAAATGTCACAGTGATTACCATCTATTAATGGAAGAACCTCAACCATCCCCGAGACTAACTCCCTCACCTTACACATGAGGAAGCAGATACCCTGACTCTCAGTTTCCACCTTTTCCTTTTACCTCTGTGTCCCACCTCAGTGTCTATGCTCAGTACCTAACCAGAACTCTCCATTTTCAGGAAATTTGCCCCGCGATGTTCTGTGTGCAAGGAACCTATCATGCCAGCTCCCGGACAGGAGGAGACCGTCCGTATTGTGGCTCTGGATCGAGACTTCCATGTTCACTGCTACCGATGTGAGGTCTGGTTGACAGCCCCCCCCCGCCAGTCTGTGGCAGGCAGTGAAAGGCCCATTGGAGCTAGTTTTACATAGATGTAGCAATTACTAAATCTCAGAAAGGCCTTATTGCCTGAACTCACAGGACCTGGGTTGTAGATCTGACACTAGTATTCAAAGCAAGTGCTACTGAATAAGTCAGTGTGCCTCCCTCAGTCTGTTTCCTTACAGGAAAAAAAGACTCAGATCCTTAACTCCTCCAAATATGACTGTGAGAATGAAATACAAAATTGTATATTAAAGGACGTTGTAAATTGCAGAAGTACTAAATTAGTAAGAAATGGTGTTATTATTATATGGAATCTTTAACTTCGGCTTGGAGGCTTTGGTTAAAACTTCTTGTTCAGAGTCACGGAGATTTATTTATTGGTTAGTATGCACTACTAGTTGCTTAGTTTCCTGGACGCCTCGAAAGCTGCAGTATATTTGCATATTCTTTTTGGTAACGCCAAACTTCCTGCAGAGTATAACCGTTGCTGCTGTTGTGTTCTGGATGCCCTGTTATCTTAAATTTCATTACATGTCAAATGAAGACATGAACTCCATTGACCTCCTGCCGCCACGGTAGACAGCAGAGGTGAGGTTCATAGCTGTTGTGGCCTTTGAGAGTGCATACTTAAGTTAGCAAACACACACTTCTTGATGAAGTACTATGTGTTTATTTTCCGAAGAGACTTCTACTTTCTCCAAAGACAGAGGCCAGCATCTAACTGTTATATAACACTTTTCAGAATGGACCCTAAGTGGAGCTGTCAACAGTAGCATATTCCTTTACAGTCACACCCACATCCATTATCTTCCTTGATACTCTCAACAGTTTGGCAAAGTAGAAAAGGCAGAAATTATTCTCAGAATGGCAATCAGCCTGTGTGCATTGAGGCAGGCTGTGGCAAAACTATGGGTGGTGCTCAGGAGGTCTGTCCTCCAGACTAGCTGTCATTGCTGTACACAATGCTATCTCCTTTAGAAAGTAACGCAAACCACTTCTCCCCACAAACTTTAGGATTTTATTTTCTTACAACAATTGAAGTAAATACACAGAAGCCACTGGTAGCCTGCCTACTTGACAGAAATCAGACTACCTTTGCCCAGAAATGGCCAAAACGTTCCATGCTTGCACCTGTGCAGGCATTTTAAAAGATCCTTCGACAAATGGTAAAGGGTAAAAATGAATGGGTGGTTAGGGACATTCTTATTTTCTCTTGTTGTTTGAGTGGGGGCAACAAACTTCCACACGGGAGCTGAGATCCGTGGCTTCTTCTCTTCTTACACCTGTATTTCATATGAAGTGACCTTAGGGGGAGTATTTTACTCCATTTATATTTATGTCCCCAATCTCTAATTCAATTACATTCGAGATATACTGTGTTATATAGTGGGAGAAAGGATACAGGGGATTAGTGGAATGTAAAGCAGGAAAGCTAGTGGCCACATTATGGCAGCCCTGAACAGAAAGCTCAATCATTTGTTCTCCACATGTGTGCGTAACATTTTTACTTACATCGTTTCCATCTGCTTTTATTGTTCTAGGATTGTGGTGGTCTCCTGTCTGAGGGAGATAACCAAGGCTGCTACCCCTTGGATGGGCACATCCTCTGCAAGACCTGCAACTCTGCCCGCATCAGGGTGTTGACTGCCAAGGCGAGCACTGACCTTTAGATTCAGTCACCTGTTCAGCTGGCACTGAGAACAAACACAAGAAAAAGATAAGAAATACGAAAATAGAGGAAAGGCCATCAAACTACAGAATAGTTTCTCTTTTTCATCTGCTATTAACCTTTCCATAGAAACACATAAATTGTGAGATTTCTTTTTTAAAAGTTGTTACCAAATACACATTTCACTTTGAATCATGTAGGATCTTGACGGGCCTTTGTTCCCAAGGACTTCCACATTTTTGCACAGATTATGCTCCATCCCATTCACTTCTGCATTCCTGTAACTTTTAATCCCTGTGTTTGTCTCACTTTTCATCTGGTTGAATGGCTTTTTTTAGTGTGGTATTTGCTGTCACATAGTTTTTCCTGGGTGAGTCTGCCAACGCACAGGTGCTTTTAGCCTTGAAATCTCCATCCTATCATTTCCATATTGCCTGTGACTATGAAGAGCAGCCATTCTTTTCCCATGTATTGAAGAGTATGTTTTCTGTTGCTTTATACTACTCATGTTTTTAGGGAGGAAATTGCACAATTTTTTTTGTTAGGTTGTAAAGAATTTAAGCTGTAAATTACATAAGTTAGAACAAGCCTAAATTTAATTTGCAACCATCAGAATTCAGAATCTACGGTGACCAGTGATCAGGGTTCATTTGAAAACACTTATTGGCCCATAGCTAATAAGTGATGACAGACAACTAAACTTCAATATTTTTCTACAGAAATTGCAGTTGGGATATGCTGGAAAGGCATTTTGGGGTTACGTTTTAAAAACCATTATTGTCCCACAGTTCTACCATAAGATTTTTCTTTTCCACACTACCTGGACATTGTAATACAAACTTGATTTTGTCTAGAATATAACATTTTCAATACTGTCCCACTTTTCATCTTAGAAATGTTGTCATGTTTATTCTAATATCCAACACAACTATCAAAATTGACTTTAGAGGATGAAAGCTGTGAAAAAACACAGTTCAAGTTCCCTTTCTTTTTTAGGCCAGGTCCATTTTGCCTGACGATTGCAAATAAGAGCATACAAAATAAAATTGTGCGGCTTTGTTTAGTTTACTTTCAAAAGAGTAGAAAGCTTGAAACGATTGTGAAACCACAGTTTCATTATTCTCATAATCCTTCTGCAACTGAAATTACAGATTGCAGGAGACATTTTCGTATCATCAGTGTGACATTTACACCACACTTTCAAAGACAATCACTGAAAAAAAATTTGTCTTTATGAGCTAAAAATATGCAGAATCTCTGCCTAGAATCTTTATTCAAACTTTTATTAGCCAGTGAAACACTTGCTTGCCAACTGCCAAGCCATACTTAATAAGTTAGAACATGTTTCATTTAAGGAGAGACACCTAGCTTAGTCATGGCAAATTGCCACTTTGTAAATTAAGTATTTTGGATTGAAATTTCTTAAACCTTTCTTTAAATCTGCCACAAGTATGTACTTTTAAATTACGGAGTATTTTAAGTCTACAAAAACGTATAAATAATAATATAATGAATTCCTATATACCTAACACCTAGTTTAAGACACCAAATATAGCAAATATAATTACATCCTCCGATGTACCCTTCCCTTATTCCACAGGTATCTTTTTCATAATTGTGATGTTCAGATTTCTAGTGATTTTTTTTTAATTTTTAATTTTAACATCAGAACTGAAATAAAAAATTATGGAGACATGTTTTGAATTGCAAACTATTCCTCAGGAATTCCAATTAAATTTATTTTACTTGAATAGGAATGATCATAAAAGGGATTCTTTTTTTGTGACTAGAAATTCTTAAGCCAGTGATCACTACAGCTCATCCTTAATGTATGGCTCATTTGCTTTTGTCACTAAACAGTTTTGTGTTAGAACCACCAGAATTATAGCTTTTAAGAGCTTCCTTTGACCATGGTCCTTTTCTTACCCTGCTTCTTTGATCGTATATTTCTCACAATGTGAAATATGATGAGATTCACTTAGGAGCAGCATGTGAGTACTCAGAGGCAATGTCAACGTGTCTCTGAATTACTGTCTTCTAAATTGAAGGCCAGACCATGCTGATAACCCCAAGGAGCACTGACTGTTTGACAATAGGGCTGATAATGTAATCAGGTTGAATTGATTTAGTAACTTTTTATGTGATACTTTAGGGGAAATTCTCTTTAGGACAAAGCAAAGAGTCCAATTTATTGACGGATAGATTTTATCTCTTAAGGTGGTCGTATTATTATTAATTTTGCCAAAAGAAGAAGAATGTATTGAATATTTATACTATAAAATGCAATAACATTCTACTTGCTTATTACATTTAAATGCTTGTGTAACTGAATGTTTACATGTCAAAAGAAAAAGCTGTAAGAAAATGCCGTCACAGACCCATCCCTGTGGCTTTGTCAGCAGAATACTGCTTGCTTACAATCTTTTTTAGGCATTCTTATCACATAACCTCAGAGTATCTTTACCAAAGGTTTTTTAAGTAAATCTCTTTTTAATATAGACTTATACTTTCATAATAATGAATGTGCACTCATACATATGTAGAAATATTTAGTTTAGGGTTTTTTTTTTCTTTCACTAGGTATAATAAGGAAAGTATCCTATCATATTTTATTCTAGGATTTCTTAAATGTATGATTTATATTACTTTCTTGTCTTTCCTATTAATCATTTGATTTAAACAATGCCAAGTCACTCTTTAATATTTCAGTTGCATGAAATTTTGCCTGCAACAGGGAGAAAAAGATTGTATTACTTTAATGATTATAATCATACTGTCTGCTGATATAATGTCAAAATTGTTGTGATTTAAATACATAAATAGTAGAAAAAATCAGAGTCTATAACAGAGAGTTTGTAAAAAATATACTGGTTTAGAAAAATTTCAAGAATATAAATATTTGGTAATTCTGTATAATAAGAGAAACATGGAAAAGGAAAAAAATCCACTATATCATGGGTTCTGCAAAACATATCAAAATAAGATTTCTTAAATTTCTCGATCTTCAGACCATACTGACTCAACATGGAGTCTCAGTGGCAAAGAAAATTGCCTTTAAAGCTTAAAGTAAGGCCAGGTGCAGTGGCTCACACCTGTAATCCCAGCACTTTGGGAGGCCAAGACAGGAGGATCGCCTGAGGCCAGGAGTTTGACGCCAGCCTGGGCAACATAATGAGACTCTGTCTCTACAAAAAATAAAATAAAATAAAAAACAAATTAGCGAGACATGGTGGCATGTGCTTAAAATAAATTGACTCAAAAGTAAGTCATATGTCCCAGCATAAGGCATCAGGTCGTTAGATGCTGGCATCTCTGCAGCTCAAAGATGTGGGTTCTTTTTCTTGTCATTAACACATTGTTATTTTTGTGGGAGCAACTTCTCTGATCAAAATTACTTTATTGGGTATGTGCTGGTTAAGGAGGTGGACTTACCAACACTGTAATTGTTCTCTATGAAAGATCCTGCAGAGATGTTTATGGTGAGCTTTCAAGGATTTAAAACAATAACTACATGTAAACAAGTATTTTATATTTGGGTACAGAGGAAGAAAGAGAGGGCTTTTTCCATGGGGCTATAGTAGAAAGTTAAAGGAACATAGACAGGACTCTGAAAACACAACTTCCAGCCGTGTCTGTAGTTAGTAAAGATCCTATTAATGTGAACCAGCCGGGAATAACAGTGTTATTTCTATTTGATATGGTTTGGGTTTCTCTTGTCAAATCTGCGTCGGCTGCCCCCCGATCCTTCCATTATCAAGTTTTGAAGGGTGTTGGGGAAATTATGGCAGCTGCTACGGAGATCAGGGAAACACTGATGTAACCTCAGAGCCTCTCACCATTCTTTTTGGCTTGGAAAGGCTTTATTTTTTCATATACATTTCTAGAAATATTGCTATTCTACCTTAGTATTTCACATTTGTAGTTTAAACAAGCGATTGTCCATCTGTTGCCTAGAGCTATAGTACATGTGTGTTATGAATGAAATATGACAGCATGTTCCATACCCCTGCTTTAGCCATCTGTGGGAAACCAGCAAACTGAAAAAGATACCTCTGCAAAATGTGCCTGAAGTCCATTTCTTGGGATCGCTCATTTGGTGCACTCTCATGGGAGACAGAGAGCAACATACATTTGTGCCTTATTTTCAAAGAATCTATGTACACTACTATGAATATTCCACTGAAGTGTCAATAATGTAAATGGCAACCACCAAATCTCAAAAATATTACTCATCAAAAAAATTTTAAAAGCCAAAAAAAAGAGAGAAAGCCAACTTTTCATCTTAATATATTCTAAGTAGTATTTATTTTGTCCTTATCTTGGAAGTATCTCATAGGTCTTTAAATAAGGAAAACATTCTTATGCCAGAAGGTGATATATTAGATGTTAATGCTTTTATTTGATTTTTCAGTAGTTCTACTCACATAATGAATACAGAGCTTTCAGCTTGAACTTTTACCACCCATTCAAGTTTTTTTTAAATTGTCTTCATTTTATTTGTTTAATAGTGGTCCAAACAAGTTGAAAACTGGTTCTCGGTGAACTGAGTCTCAGTTCTCAGTTCTTAACATGGTGCAACCGTGAATATTTTAGGTCAAGTTATTTAGTTGCCAGATAACTAGAATGAAACTTTTCTCATGAGGCTGTTGTTTGGATAGCATAGCTTTATTTTAAACCTCTAAAAAGTTACCTGACTGGACCTACTATGACTTGGTGAGAATTCTTCCTCTCTTCCTTTCTGCCTCCCTCCCTTTCTCCCTCTTCCTTCCTCCCCTTCTGATTTTCTTTCCTACTTTCCTCTCTCCCTTTCCTTCCTTCTTTCCATCCTACCACTTAGTTAGTGTTGCTATACTTGGATTTTTTATAAATTAAATTAATGCATTATGATCCTATGTAAGTATGATTATATTAATAAGGGGAAGGCTACCAGAAATTGTATGTGGCATCCATAAAAATCTTCCCTTGTAGGTCCATATTTTTAGGTTGTATTTATTAGTAAAGTGAAATGAGATAATAGAGTCTTTCCATTTCATCTTAAGGATTTTTCATCAGGGACTTAGGTCATAGATTTTTGGCGAATTCATTTATGGCTGGTCTGGTTTTCTCAGCTGTATGCAAAGTAATCTTTCAAAGACGAGGTTAAGATTTTTTTTTAATCTAAAGCCATTTAACAACAAAAAATTATATTTGTAATGATGGCATTTTATTTTATTCCATTGCAACTTGATAATTTTCCTTATGGCAAAGGAATAACTATTGTATTTTCAGAATTTTAACACAGATTAACACTTAGCCCATGAGACTAATATTATATTGTAATAGTTGATACTAAAATGTTTTCTAGCAGGTTGGGCAGCACCAGAGTTTTTCTTAGATCACAGATTACAGGCATAATCCAGAATCCCTTCAATCCAGAAAAAAGGACACTAATTCCCTTTTCTATTTTATTTTCCTGGCCCTCGTGCAGAAAATTGTGGGCTCTTTCTTACTTACAACATGCATTTCTCTTATTTTTGGAGAACTGTGTAAAAGATGCATTTTTTTTTCTTTTAACTGATTGACAGGTCCCCTGCAAAGTGACAAAAAAGTGCTGAACTTTTGCCATTTACTTCTGGTTGTTATTTAACTGATAAATATCTCTACTTCTAGCCTTTGTTCAAAAGAAAAATTCATATTCTATAAACACCTATGTATGCTAGAGAGAGGGGAAAACACTGCAGCTAATTCCTTTATAATACTTTCAGATGATGGCATTAAGCCTTTCATGTTACATGGCATTTTTAATTTTCCTAGATATTCATGCACTTAAGGGCCAGAGAAATACTTATTCATTTAACTCTGGTGGGTATTTACCTAATGTACTCAAATAAATACCTTATTAAACAGCCACAATTAAGTCAACTTGGCACTGAATGTAGCTTCTAAATTCAGTTCTCAGCCCTACAAATGGAATGTCCTACCAAGAATGAGAAGTGTCACCATGTCAACTTGTGTTCTGTCCCAATGTAGAGAGTTACAGTTGACCTCAAACACTAATGCTATTTCCAAATAAATTAGAATCGTGGCCTTTTAAAGATCTGAATCTTCTCTGATAATTTCCTGATGAATTATCATCCCCTATTTTCTTATTCCTGGCCAGTATGTGTTACTGCTCACATCAGTCTGTTCTAGCTCTGTAGCTGCACAAAACAAGTGTTACATCCAAATCTTTGCCTTTTCATGTCCAGTATCACCAACTCATTCAGCTTTTCTTCATTTATTGACATAGTGTCAAGTCCCATCACTGTCTGTTGCTTCTTTAAAAAGTGGACAAAAACATAGTTTCTAATTTTTAATGTACTAAGTGAAACTTGGCAATTCACCTTGGGTCAGGCCAAGTTGAAAGGCTTTCTTTAGGTTTGAAAGTAAATGAAATTGGAATCACCCAAAGGGAATTTCTCCAAAAAACCTCAGACCCAGAAGTGTAAAAGCTACATAAGGACAGAACTCCCATGTGTACAGACAGTTCTGTTACTTTTTGTTCTGTACTATTTTGGATGTTGCCAAAATCAAATTCATTCTGAAAATGGGAAGCAAGCTAATGCATATGCCATCCATGAGATCCCCACTTCTGGGTCAGTTCATAATCCACTCAACCCTTTCCTTTTATCCATGTCTTCTTCAGAATAAGACATTTTTGGTCCATATTTTCATATTAAATATGAACACTTTACAGGTTCTACATAAGCATGTGGATACTTTACAGCTTCTACATAAATATTTACTGGTTTTGAGATTCACTTCACGCATTCTGTACTCAAATATTTGTACCTGGAGATGTTGCACGTTAGATGAAGTGAGCAGATTCTTTCACTAATCATTTAGGAGTCCATATTTTTCTCTTCTTTTTGTTGTTCCAACATCCTTAAACCTTACTCAGCTCTTCAATTTAGTAATTACCAACTAATCACTGTAAGAGAATCAGCACCTAAGTAACTTTGACTCAGGCCAACTGTAATAAGATCAAACAGCTTTAATCTGTACTTACTCAGTAGGAAGGAATGTGGCATCAGGAAGAGTAATTCCAGTGACATTACTAAGACTTTTATGGAGGAAATAAAATTTTATGAGAAATCTTGAGCTGATTCATTGACTTGATTTGGACGTTGAGAAAAGAGTATTTAAGGCACAATGGAGAAACACGGGCTATACTCAGAGAAGACCCGCTGCATTGGCCAAAATATCATGGCTTCTGGAAATTCCTTCTTACTAGGAAAAAAAAAAAAAAAAAGGCTTCCAGAGAAGCAGGCTCAGTGGGAATAAAACGGCACAGAGGAAGCCTAAATAAGTACTTATTTGCTTTTTCATCTTTTTATAAGTGGAAGAGAAGATGATCTGCCAAAATGTAATCCAACATGCACAGTATGAAACAGCCCTCCATGAACTTTATTGTAACAGAAAATGAGCATTCTTATTGAGCCGCAGCTACATCTCCTATTCTTGCAGCAAGTGTACATGTCTTTTGACCCTCCACAAGAGAACAAGCAGGACATCTCTATTTTCCTATTGAGTCTAAGTTCATTATTAGAAAGGACTTCCCAGCCATCTGTTCCACTTGGTGTTAAAATTCCCTTACAGATTCATTGCTAAGTGCTAATTCCTACTCTACTTAAACATCACCTGTGTCGAGGAGCTCATTACCTCTAGAGATCTTACATTTCTTGCATCACATTTTGCTACAAGCTACCCCTGACTTTAAAACAGATCCAGGCTTCAGGGCCTGTGTTCTCTTTGGTGTCACACAAAACTAACCAGTAGTACACAATACAATGTTGCTTCCTCCCTCCTTTTCCTTCCATATCTATTTGTTTTGTTTTGAGCAATGTATTACTTTTTTGAAAAAGCTCTGATTATACAAATTTTCAAGCATCTCTAAAATTAGTCTGAATGATGTTCTGAGAGCCAGACATCAGAGTTTGTGAGTTTTTGTGGCTGGTTTATAAGACATATCGTTCTGACAGTTATTAGGTGGCTTCATGCCTTCCCCAGTAACTAACCCATGAACAGTACACCCCATTTATTTGATTTGTTGATAATGACCTTAAAAATGCTGGGAAATGTTGGTGTATAGTTCCCAGCTCTAACAAGGAAAAACTCAAAAGCAAAAGATAGTGGTACTGTTGAAAGCTCATTGTTTTCCATTAGTTCATCTGTGGGAAAGGATATCATTCTTGAGGAAAGGGGTTACATTATGCCATAGTTTTATGTGGAAATGTACAAACGCTTTCCTCATTGCTCTGGATGACTATTTAGTTTCAATAGTATTCCTTTGTCTTTGGGAAGACCATGCTTGTGGCTTCTTCTACCCCAGCTTTGAATGAGAGAGGCCTGTAGGCAGAAACTCCCATCAGTCTCCTGGGCAGGACCTGGAGGTAGCTTTCTGAGCTCTAAAATAATAATTCCTAAGAGAGCTTAAAAACTGCTTCCACACAGAAAATAGCCCAGGGAGGACAGTTATTAATAGTCCTATTCGAGAAGAGAAAGCTGAGGCTCAAATCATTAAGTGACTTGCCAAAAGCTATGACATAGCTGGGAAGTGGCAGATTTGGAGATACGCCCAGGTCCTGCAAGTCCAGTGCTGTCTGCAGGTAGCCACACTCAGGGCCAAGAACAACTGAGAAGACAATAGAGACTTCCCACAGACTACCAGCCCCCTAGTCATCCAGGGAAATTCAGAGACCAACTGGCAAATCCACATGCGTACTGCGGTCTTAGAGATCATTTAGAGCTTGCACACATCTGTGTCATCTAATGGGAAACCGCTAGGTATTCTGTCTGATCAGCACCGTGAGGAAACTGGTGGGAAAAGACCACTGATAATGTAATGTAAACCAACTCTCTCTCAGAGAGAGTTGCAGAGCTGACTTGATTCCTAAAAGTTGCAGAGCTGACTCAGCATGCAGAGCTGACTTGATTCCTAAAAGAGGCCTCTCTCCCATGGACCCTGATGTATGTTCCACAGAGGCAGAAACTGCTGTAGGTTAACAATGCATTTTAGTCTTTCTCTCCATTCACATTTATTGAGGACTCACCAAGTGCATGTTGCCGCCACAGGCATTTCCAATCCAACCAATCCATGACCGGAAATGTCTGTGAACAAATGTTATGGAACTATTGGCATCTGAGATTTGGCCTTTGCTGTTTCATAGACTTTGCTTCCCAGGATGCTGTCATTTTGCGATTTATTATAATTACAAGGAATTCGGTACCATGTTTTCAGAAAACCTGCTAGAAAGTCTCCATGTATACTCTAGAAGTTGCTCTATGCAGCATTTCAGCAACCAAGTGTTCCTTCTCTTGAGCTTCATCCCTCAGGAAGCTGTACCTTTAAGGTGTGCTTTTCACTTTTTAACTCCTCTCATTTCACTCCTTTAGTTGTTTGCTATGCCCTAAAATGTGTGAAGTAAGAGAAAAATTATAATTTCTTCATTAAATCTCCTGCATTAAATCTAAGAATCCTTTAATCATACCTGGTAAGTGTGTTATGCATTTCCCTCCCTGGAGTTTATCATCCATCAAGACAGTATCATCATCTACCTGCTTATTCCCTGGGACTAATGAGAGCCAAGTTCAATAATAGCAAATGGCTTCTCAACCCTTCCTAGGCCTCATACCTGAGGAATAAAGGATACATTAATGGGACCGGGAGAATGGTGGCCTTGGTTGAGATGGCACATTCAAAGACTAGAAAGGTGCCTCACCTCCCTGTAGGCTTCCTGAATATTATGGCCAATGGAGTGGAAAATGATTCTTGTCAAATAGATGGAGTATTCCCACCCCTGAAATGGACTAATAGAAGACATAATTTGAGCACATCTCAGAATTACCTAGTATGCCTGAGTAGAGACTCGCTTGGGTGGAATCTGTGTTGTCTGATTAGAGGGAATGAAAAGACAATGAGGTGGTAAATGTGAAAAAGCAGCCTTTTAGAAAAACATTCTTTGCAAATACCTTTATAAATCATCTAATTTATCTTTGCATAAAGAAAAAACTAATAAAAAATTTCATATTTCACTCTACATAATATATTCTCTTATATTTAGGGATAATACAATTATATTATCTTCAGAACACACACACACACACACACACACACACACCTTCCAAGAAAGCTGATCCTTCAAAAAATAAATCTTATTTTTAAACACTTGGGTTTTCAGGCCAGGACATTAATAAATCCTATACCTGACCCATTTTCATAGCAGCTGAAAAGGGGAAGAAAAAGCTACTTAAAATTTGTGAGGATCCACTTATCTTTTAAAATATGCCAAAGCAATTTGAGGTGGGGTGGAAACAGGTCTTTATCTCTCATGCATGATTCCCTCTTTATATTTCTGTCTGTTGGGAAAAGGGTAAAGAATTATTCTTGGTCATTATTATTGATGTATTGTATCTTCACTTTGTATGCTGTCTGCTGTGCTTCATCCCGAGGCGTAACAGTAATCATTGCTTTCTTGACTATTTCCTTCATGGCAAGAGAGTAAATATGGAGTCTGAATGTCGTTCCTCACACGCAAATTATTTAACTCTGCTTCCGAACTAGTTTAAGAAATGCAAAATGGGAAGAGCTAGCTTTTCTTAGATACATTTCTACTTTTTTTATTCTTTCTTGGGAGATGTTAAGTATAAAGGAAAAAAGTCAGTTCCTTCTTTTCTCTCTTTCTCTTAGGGTGACAGCAATGCTCACTTAGCAGTTATAAACCAGAAATTGGAGAGTAGCTTGGGCAGGTTATGATACATCTGCCCAATGTGTTTCATTCTTTCAAACATAAACTTTGAGAGGGAAAGAGATTTTCAGAATTTAAATGCCAACCATAGGTATGGCATCATATTTTGACTTTCAAATAATAAAAGGGGAGTTGGTATTTGGGCAGTGTTTGCATTTTACTAATCCTATATACTTTCAGCTTAATTTTTAGAAGTATGTCAAATACATCAACATATCAGGATTATAGTGCCCAAAATAGTTAAAGTGTCTTGGACCTCCCTCTCTAGGTAGCAAATTGAAACTAGCATAGGACCATGCCATCCTTCTAGCATAATGGAGAAGTCTGGACTGAGAAGTATCTTTGACGAAAAACATTTAGGACCCTGGAAACGAAATCCTGTCAACAACACTTTATAGTAAAGTAGCAGCAAAATTATTCTTAAGATACTTTCTTCCTTTTACTACCCATTTCCTCTTTTGGGAAAGCTGATGAGCAAATTATCCAATACTCATTTTTCTCTTAAGCAAAGTCAGAATATTTCCCCTCTGAAAATCTGAATTATGCCCTCATTCTTTTTCAAGAAACATCTCAAAGAGCAAATAGAATTAAAGATAACACTTGATTGTCTCGTTATTTGGCATGCATAAAATTATCATGTGGTTTAATGTGCCTTAAGTGAAAATTTAAACTTACATGCGAAACCTTTACAGTTGGATGTAGCATTGAGCTTTTGCATGTGTTCTATATAGTAAACCAGTTTCGTTTTGTTTTGTCTTTTAACCTACACCTTTATCATTACTCTAACAGATTTGGGGCTTCTCTTTCTCTACAGCTAAGTAAGGGAATATGTGCAATTATGAGACATACAAAAAAGGAAAGGGAAAGGACTTTCTAAGTAGCAAATCTGTGCCGTGAAGTAGATGTGACGTGAAGACACAGAGCCTGAGAAGAGTAATTTTCCCCGAGCCACGCACACAGGCTTTTATTTCATGCCTTTTCTCCTTCCGTGCCGTCACCTTTGAGAAAAACGACTGCACCTTCTCCAAGTCTGCCTTTTTAACAGCTACAGTTGAGTTGGCAAGACTTCCCCAGTTCTGAATATAGCCATTTGCCGACTCCGGCCTCTTTGCGAGACTGACTCAAATCTGTGATCTTCTGTTCAGCATACACATCAGCAGAGTGAGAAGATGAGCACTAAATATAGGCTCTATTAACTTTACTTTTAGATTTAGTGCCTTCAAAAAGTGCCTATTCTGAGCAACATAAACGTTATTCCTTACATATGTATGTACACACGGTACCCAGAGTCGTACTGTGCAGCCTTCAAAAACATACCATCAGAAAGAGTAGGTGCTGAGATAAGGAAACTTTGCCAAATGGAAGAAAGTCACTCACTTCCAATATCCCCTCTGGAGCGGCTACCGTGAAACGGGCTGCAAACACATTCCCTGAGCATCCCTTGCTGATACAGCTTCTTTATATTTATATCCTACTGGATGGTAGCATATTGCTGAGGTTTCCTGTACTCTGCTTCAAGGGAATGTAAGCTTTATGGCATTGAAACATTTAGTCAGGAAAAAAGAATGTTTAAGAGAATTAACAGAGCCATAGTCTGTATTAGGATGTGTGTATATGTGTGTTTTATAAACTAAGCATTGGTGGGTTTAGAGCGTTAGAGTGTTGGCATGTTTCTTCTCCTTTTGTCTCTCAGGCTACCATGAGAGAAAATTAAAGAAAATTCTTGGCGGTGGGGATTGGAAGCTCGGGGGGCCAAATGTCCTCGCCAGATCCTTAGAGCACTACTTCGACTCCTAAAAATAGTAGTGTGTGTTATTTGATGGCTCTTGTTTCCATAGTTTGGTCACTGACAGCACTGTCACTACTGTTGACGGAGCAGCAGCATAGCCTAAAGTGATGCATTCTTACCTAAGGGTGGCAGGAGGAGAGGGTCCATGTAAATAAGACGAGGTAGACAGGGCATGATTGTAGGAGAAGGGTTGAAGGGAGGACATGATTCCAAAAAAGATCGTTCTCAATGTGTCGTCTGACTCAACCAGCTGGCAGATTACACTTGCCAAGTCGTTCCCTTTCCTTCTAAGTCAGTTGGCTCCATATTCACTTGAATATGCCTCTGTTTGGGGAAAGCAAGATACCTCCACTTAACCTTTATCCAAGGAAGCTTTTGGTGTCCTCTTGGTCGTAAAGTTGTCTCCTACCTTACCCAGTTTTACCAAATGGAAGTAAAAGGGGACAAACTATGGAAGATGAACTCCACGCCATTGCAGTCAACCACCATTCTGTTTTCCATATAAGGAGCTCCTTTACATAAGCTATGGGTGAGGTTGGAACAGCCATGTTTCATAATTTCAAGAGTGTGACCACCCTGCTTCAGTCATCATCATTGTATAAATCCAGTTGACTCTTTGGCAAAAGAGTGATACTTTTCACTAAAAATGTCTGCTCTTCCTGTTGATGTTCCTTTTCTGTTTTTACCTTATCCAATTTCAACACTAGTCATTTTTAAATTTTTTTAGAGAATCAGATTTTAGTGCAAGTAAAGAGTTCAAAAATTTCAGCGTGGTGTCATAAGGATATTGGGATACAGAGATTTTTTTTTTTTTCCTTAGAAACAAATGGACTGGGAAAGACACAGCATGGCTTTGCTCTGAGTTTCCATCTGATGATTATGACCATGAAAGATAATCTTATGTGAAGGTTAAATGGTGTTTACAAGTGAATAGATAAGGGGGAGAGTGTGAGAAGCTGGGTTTTCTCTATGCTGAATGTGTCTACTAAGAGGAGCACTTCCTACTAGCTAAGCACAATCATAGCCCCACCATGATCAGCTGCTAGTCTGAATAATATTCCCTGACTTAGGGAAAGGCACACGAAAACATATAGGGAATATGTCTATTTTCATATGTGTGATACTGACAGAGCCATGATATTCCTAAAATATAGGTTTCTCTTTTTTCTTATATTCTTAGCAAATTGCATTTATTCACTACATTACAAACCATCACTGATGTATCCAAAATAGCACACATAGTTCATTATGAAAATAAGAGACTAAAATCTGTTATAAGCAAGTGATTTATGTATTTTCTTTTGTGTTTGTGCATTATCCAACTATATTAGGACCTGTTTTCTATTTACCTTCTATCAGTTTTCTCTATCAATTATGTTTTTTCAATGCTCTATAAAAATAAATATGGAAATTATATTTCTTTTTTCTGTAAAGGAATTGCAACTACTTTATTATATTTAGAAATCCAATAAACTTCTTATTACATTTACTTGCCTATGCGTGGATCCTTTTTGAGTTGGATAATCTCTGTTTCCTTTTCTTCTAACCCCCTTTACTGTGTGACTCATTTTTTACATCATTTGCTTTCCATATGGTCTTCTGAGAAAGGGAATATCTCTCATAGCAAATATGATGCCACAAGAGTATGAAAGCACCCACTCCCTTCTACTGTTAGCACAGAAGAACTTAAGGCCAGAGGTGTTCTAAAATTATTTGACCACTCTGTGTCTTGATTTGGCAAGGAATTTTTTATTTTTGAAGTTGGAACCCAAGTAAATGGATCCCTTAGGGTGGGGTTGGGGTTCTCCATTTTCATCACAAACAAGTGGCTGAATTTTTCATACTTTTATTCCATCTGTATTATGGATAATTTTCAAACATTGAGAATTTGGTCTGTACTAGGCATCTTGAGCATACAGATATAAATGACAGACAGTTCCTTTCAATGAGTTTACAGTCTAGTTGAGCTGATAAGATATGGATACAAATACCTATGGAGAAAGGAAAGGACTAACTACACACAGGAAAAAGTAACAGCATTTTCAAGACTTTTCAATGTTAGTCCATTTTCAATATCCTTGTGATTACTTTACCCTCATTTTATAGATGGAAATTCCAAGAGTGAGAAATAAAATTAATAACCCAAAATCAGCATTCACTCACCAAGACTATTTTTTTTTCCATTTTTAAAAGGAACAGGTCTGCAGGAAAACCAAGACTCCTGATACCCAGTCTACTGAACCTTAATAAGAGTGATTAACACTAGAGCATACATGAAACTCATACCATGAAAGTCAGAAAGGGGTCTGTTGGGGGGAATAGGGGAGGGACAGCAGGGGTGGGGAGTTGGGGAGGGATAGCATAGGGAGAAATGCCAGATGTGGATGAAGGGGAGGAAGGCAGCAAATCACACTGCCACGTGTGTACCTATGCAACTATCTTGCATGTTCTGCACATGTACCACAAAACCTAAAATGCAATTTAAAAAAAAAGAGTGTCTCTTCTCTTCCACTTCTCTCTCCAACATCACATTTCAGCCTACTAGTGTTGGGGCATTTGAGAACTACAGGTGGGAGGACTCTGTACTAAAGACTGCTAATTTAAACTGCCATACACAAGGTAAATCTTTAAACAAACAAATGGTAGATATATCATTGGGACTTGTGGTACTTGTAATTTCTTACCAGAAAGTTGTAAACAAAAGAATTCATAAGATGTAACCTTGTCTTCCCTTTATCCTTCTACAAAGAAGAACACATGAGAGGTAAGATTACCTCTTTTTTCTTCCTATATTTCTCAAATGACGCTGTTTTTACATCCCCCCCACCACTCCCTGCTTCTGCTTTCTTTGTTTTGTTTTGTTTTGTTTTTCTTTGAGAGGGAGTCTTCCTCTATCACCAGGCTGGAGTGGAGTGCTGTGGTGCGTTCTCTGCTCACTGCAACCTCCAACTCCCTGGTTCAAGCTATTCTCCTGCCTCAGCCTCCCGAGTAGCTGGGATTACAGGCACGTGCCACCATGCCCAGCTAATTTTTGTATGTTTAGTAGAGACAGGATTTCACCATGTTGACTAGGATGGTCTTGATCTTCTGACCTCGTGATCTGCCCACCTCGGCCTCCCAAAGTGCTGAGATTACAGGCATGAGCCACTGAGCCTGGCCCTGCTCTCTGTTTTCTAACACTATATATTCATTTGCTTCTATTCAGAGTGTAAGAGCTAGAGGGGCCTTTAGAGATTATTTTACTCTGACTTTATGAAGAAATACTAAGTCTTAGAGATATGAAAGCATTTACCCAAGATCATAAAATATTTTCATGACAGAGTTGGATCTTGAGTCCTGGCCTCCTACCCCTCCTCTGTCCATTGTTATACATAAATGATTTGAATTATGCAGAAGAGAGTGGATGAAGAGTTCTATTTATAATTTACATTTCTAGGGAAAAGACATTTAAAACGAGAAAAAAACTGAGTGCTTAATGCCCATATACCCTAATTAAAAGAAATTCTAAAAACCATATTGCAGGAAGAAAAAAAACAGAAGGAATATCAATGATGCAACAGGAACTTTATATACATATACGTCTACACACACACACACACACACACACGTGTATATATATATGTGTGTGTGTGTGTATATATATGTACATAAAGTGTATATATGAGCAATCTACTAAAACTGGCCTTCTAGTCCAATTGTCTGCAAAATTCAAAGCATCTTTCATACAGATTGAATATTTTCATCATGTTAACATTTAACTCAAATTAACAACCATAGATAATTTTTAAAATTTACATTTGGGAATTTAAAAATATCCCTAAAATGGCTTACTTCAAAATAGAAATCATAAGAACTTAACAATAATGAAAATTCTACATAGTAAAACTTTTAGGAGTCAGCTCAAATGGTTCCAAGAGGGAAATGTAAGTCCTTAAATGGTTGTATTAAAAATAAAGTGAAAATTAATGAGCTACTGATTAAACTCATGTTAGTAAAAGAACAGAATAAGATTCAAAATATAAGGAATGGGTAATAAAAATATGAAAAAAAATGAAACTAATGGTATAGAAAACGAGAATATAATAGAATATCAAAATATAGTCAGAATTTGGCACTTTAAAAAAGTATTGGAAATTACAAATTTCTGGTAAATCTTATCAAGGAAAAAGACATAAATAATATTTAAACCATAGATACAGCAGATATTTGAAATATAACAATAGCATGAGCAATTTCATATGATTAATTTGAAAATGTAAGATAAAACAGAAATATTTCTCCTTAAAAATTATAACCTAACAAAAGTTAGGTTAAAAAAAAAAAGACAATGTGAATAATCCAATAAAATTAAATTATATTAGTCATTTAAACTATTTCCAATAATTACTGAAGGGAGTATGAGAATGGCGTTTGGGTTAACATTTTAGGTTAGGTTGGTAACATTCTACTTCAGGATCTGAATGCTGGTTATATGATTGTGGTTAGTGTTTGAAAACATATTGAGCAATACATTTATGATTTGTGCATTTTATTTATACACAACTTCAGTGGATAAAATATTTTCTTAATCAAAAAATACCTGATATCTTGATTCTAAATGTGAATTCTACTGGTCATTCAAATTAGAATTACAATGTTAAAAAAAGTGAACACTCTCCAACATAATCTATAAGGCAAGTGGCCAATCTTATTAATGAATATATTGATTAAAAACTTATAAACTACTGGAAAACCAAGCACAGTAGTGAAGAAAACAACAAACCTCAAGTAGCTTGGGTGTAATCCTAAAATAGAAGAGCAGTGGAACATTAGAAAGTCTATCAATGTGGTCGGGCGAAGTGGCTCACACCTGTAATCCCAGCACTTTGTGAGGCTGAGGCAGGCAATCACCTGAGGTCAGGAGTTTGAAACCACCTGGCCAATATGGCGAAACCCCCATCTCTACTAAAAATACAAAAATTAGCCAGGCATGTTGGCAGGTGCCTGTAATCCCAGCTACTCAAGAGGCTGAGACAGGAGAATCTCTTGAACCCAAAAGCAGAGGTTGCAGTGAGCCAAACCACATTCACAGAACAAAACAGACCTTATGATTGACTGACCATGGTGGCCCATGCTTGTAATCCCAGCACTTTGGGAGGCCTAGGCAGGTAGATTGTTTGAGGTCAGGAGTTCAAGACCAGCCTGGGCAACATGATGAAATCTCATCTCTACTAAAAATTCAAAAATTAGCCAGGCATGGTATCAGTAGCCTATAATCCCAACCACTAAAGAGGCCAAAGAAGGAGAATTGCTTGAACCCTGGAAGTGGAGTTTGCAGTGAGCCAAGATTGTGCCACTGCACTTGAGTCTGGGTGACAGAGTGAGACTTGTTGTTGTTGTTTTTTAAATGAAAGGTCTTATGATTATTTAATAGATTTTTTTAAACAATGTAATAAAATCAAGCATTTATGACTAAAGAAACAAAAACAGCAAGAGTGGAAAGGACTTCCTTAACTGGATAAAGGCCATCTATACAAAAATCACTCCAAATGGTGAAACGTTATAAGTAATTATTTTAAGCCTGAAATAAGAGAAAGATGCCCACTATCTTTCTTTTATTAATAGACAACTTTATTCAACCTTGCATTAAAGTCCCCAGTCAGTGCAGCTATATCAAAAACATGAATAAAATATATATAAAGACTATAAGAAGCTAAACTGCCACCTGTGATATAACTCTTAGCAAACTATATAGCAACTCAAAATAATATGTAAATAATTCACATTAAAAACTGTCCCTGGCTGTGGTGGCTCATGCCTGTAATCCCAGCACTTTGGGAGGCTGAGGTGGGCAGATACTTGAAGTCAAGTGTTTGAGAGCAGCCTGGCCAACATGGCGAAACCTTGTCTCTACTAAAAATACAAAATTTACTGGGCGTCGTGACAGGCACCTGTAATCACAGCTATACTGGAGGCTGAGGCAGGAGAATCACTTGAACCTAGTAGGTGGAGTTTGCAATGAGCCGAGATCGAGCCATTGCACTCCAGCCTGGGCAACAGGAGTGAGACTCCATCTCAAAAAAAAAAAAAAAGAAAAGTGTATCAAGTTTGCTAGTCATAACATTAATGTATAAAAAATACAGTGTACCTCAGAATATCTTTTTAAATGGGCAAGGTATTAATGAATAAAATCTTAAAACTTCACTGAAAGCCATTAAAATAGTCTTTTAGCCAAGACCTGAGGAGAGGCCCCTGTCTCCCTCTTTCTTGGAGAATTTGCTCTAAGAAGCTTGCAATTTTAAATCCTTCCTCTGTTACTTTGAGATATATGTATATGTGTCTCCTACAACCCAGGAGTGTCTTTCTCAAGGACCTGAAAGCAAAGCCAGTCCTTTGAAATGTTATCATCAGGAAGGATAGGGCCTTGGTCTCTAAATCTCCATGGGAGGATAGACTTGTAACTAGCAGACACAGCTGGTCTAATCACATTTACACTAACCTGCCCTCCAA